TGCATTGCATGCGTGTGTGTGTGTGTGTGTGTGTGTGTGTGTGTGTGTTTCCCCTTCTGCCGGAAGGACATGATTGAGTTTGAGGCCTCTTTTTTTTAAGTCCACAATGAAAACAACATGTGGAAGGCTGATTGAATATTTCAGTTGCTGGAGGCCCCTCTGTTCTGTCTGATGTCTTCATGTTTCTCTGCTGCTCTGATTTCTCTCAGTGTTGGAAAATAGAATTTCTCCCTCCTCAGCCTGGCCAAGGATTCTGAGCCAAGTAGTTGCTTCTGGAAGCTTTTATCAGGGGCAGAAGGGGATAACCCATGCTGGGGCCAGGTATTGCCAGACTGCAGATGAGCCAGGGTCAGTCTTTGTTTCTCAGATTACCTCCTGTGAAAAGCTGTCTCTAAGGACTGGTGTTGGAGACTGTGTATGAGTGTGCAAGTGTGTGCTCAAGTGTGTGTGTGTGAGGATGTGTATGTATGTATTTACCTGTATAAGTCTGTGTGTGCACACATGATGGTGTAAGCTGTGTATGGGTATATATGTGAATGGGAGCCTGTGAGTGTATATGAATGTATGCACATGAGGGCTTAAGAGTCTGAGTGTACTAAAGGGTGTGTGTATGAGTCCGAGTGTGTATGTGACTGTGTGAGTTGGCATATGAGGGTGAGTGTTATGTATGTACCTGTCTGAATGTGTACGTGAGCCTGTGGTATAAGGCTATGTTCCCATGAGGATGCATATTTGCGTAAGGATGTGTGGGGATAAAAGTGCATGTGTGTAAATGTGTGTGAGCTTGTGTGCATGTGAGAATGTGTCTGTGTTTTGTGAGTGCATGTGTACAGGGAATGTGGAGTCAAGTACATGTGCATGGATTCAAGTCTATGTGCATGCATATGGAAGTGAATGTAGGTGTGTGTGCATAAGGGTGTATGTGCACATGAATGTACGTGAGTAGGAGTATGTGCATGCATGTGGGAGTGCATCATAAGTCTGCATGGACTTGAGGATGTGTGAGTGTATAATAGGGTATGAGTGGGGGCAGGGGGAGGATGGGAAGGGATGGGAAGGGGAAACAAAGGAGGAGGCTACAATGCTTGATAAAAATGTACTCATTATATTGCTCATGTAATTGTAACCGCTCTGTACAGTATTTTCACAATAAAAAAAAATAGGGTATGAGTTTGGGTTAGTGTGCACGTGAGGGTATGTTTGGAGTGTGCGTGGTGTATATACATGTGTGTGTCAGTATTGCAATGAGGGTGTGTATTTGTGTGTGGGTGTGACTTGAGTATATGAGTGTAAATGCATGTGTGTGAGCTTGTGTGCATGTGATGGTGAGTGTATTGGTGTGTATGCACATGAAGGTGTGTGGGAAGCTGAATGCACATACGCAGGTAAGTCTGTGAAAGTGTGCACATGAGTGTGCAGAGTGTGGAAATATAAATGTGAGTGTGTGAATGAGGTATATGAATATGTACATTGAGGGTATATGAATGTGAGTGTGTGTGAGCTTAAGTGTATGCGTTGTGAGTATGCTTATGTGAGGGTGTGGGACTGAATGCACTGTATGGGTGTGAGGATGTGTGAGCGCACAGGTGTACAATATGCACACAAGTATGTGTTGGGTGTGTGATTGTGTTAAGAAGGATGTGTAAGTGTGAGTGAGTATACACATAGAGTGTGTGTGAGGTTTGTGAGTCTGTGTTTGTGTGAGTGTGTTGGGTGCTGGGTTCAAATGACTGGAGACGGGGAGTGTAGCAGACCCATGAGTCAGTGAGATATCCATATGAGGGCATAGACATGAGCCAGAAGCTGCCTCAGAACCCTCCAAATCCTCCTCAGAGATCCCCAGTAAGCTTCATGGTGTCACTGGCCAAAGCCAGTGCTCTCTCATCCCTTTCATACGGAAGGGACCTAATCACACAGAGTCCCAGAACACATGAGTGGCACAGCCAGTCTGGGACTTCTGGTTGACATGTGCCCTGTCCCACAACACAACACTAGACCCTCCTTGTGTGCCATTTCAAGAAGTTTCCTCACATCTTTCCCTAGAAGCTCCAGGCAGGCCCCTTTCCCAGTGCACACAACCATCAGCATACACATACATACAACACCCACCATCTTTGGCTTCTACAGGATCAAGTGTAGGGAGAGTAGAGACTTGGCAGTGCTAAGGACAGCCTACAGGAAGACCACGTAAAGTTTCCTGGGACTGGAGAGAGAACTGTGTGTGGAGCACCAAGAACAGGGACGGCTGCTGTGTATGCATTGAGCTACAGTACACAGTAGGGCAGGTTAGGGCAGGAGGACTTTGAGATTCCAGTGACACCCCAGAGCTTCTGCTGTGGGCTGGGTGGAAGGAATAGCCCACAAGCATCTGTTTGTTGAACTTGATTGTCTTTCTGGCTTTGCCATTTTTCAGCCCTGTGATTTGAGGCATAACCTTGGATTCCTCTTTCACCTGCATTTTGGCACCTGGGAAGTAGACACAGATGCATCTGTGTTGGCTGCTCAGAGAAACAATCACAGATGCTGTACATGACTATGAGCCATTTCTGTTTTGTTCTCAATATTGTCGTTAGGTCTTCCTGGACAAATTCTCTTGTTTTGTTTGTTTTGTTGTGTTGTGCTAATATGGGGGTTTGCACTCAGGGGACTGTCCCTTAGCTTTGTCCGCAAGGCTAACACCACTTGTGCCATAGCTCCACTTCTGGCTTTTTGGTGGCTAATTGGCAAAGAGTTTCACAAACATTCCAAACTGGGTTGGCTTCAGACCCCAATCCTAAAATCTCAGTCTTGTCTGTGTAGTTAGGATTACAGCTTGTTTTGTTTTTTAAAGGCACTTTCCTGATCTAGAGATGTGGCTCAGAGGTACAGTACTTGCCTAGCATGTGTACAGCTCTGGTTTTGCTCAGAACTGGAAAAAGGGCATTTCCTATAACCATTGAAAGATGAGAGCTGGTTTTTCTGCTCCTTGCCTGGAATGGGGGATCCTCCTTGGTTATGCAAGTGCAGTCCATTCCCTGGGATTGTCTCCTTGGGAGCAACTTGTATTCCCTGCCCTACAGCAAGTGAATTCATAGTCTGATGGTGGACTTGGAGCTCCATGAGTTACTATGAATTGTGATTGCCAGAATAGCCCCTATGCAGATTCCTGTCTCTGCAGACTAGGCTACCAAAAATTGTCCAAAGGCAGGCAACTGGCAAGCCTCTCTGACTCCCAAAGGCTACCAGCCTCTGGTGCACTTGGTCATAGGTCACAGCTTTGTGCGTGGCCACACACCCAGGATCACCTGTTCAGGACTGAGGCCTCAGGGGAAAATGGGTATTCAGAGGTGGCAGCTCCAGAATTGAGAACTGGCCTCCAAGATTGGGCTACACATCTACTGTCATGTTCTCTTTGAGTCTAGCAGGTTGATTTTTATCAAAAAGATATGTGCTTTCTTTTTTCTCAGTCTTCCATGGAATGTGCCAGAATTATGGAATTATGAAAATAGACCTGGCTGTTAAATTTTAAAGTTAAATTTCCAAGAGAAAAGGTTTCTCCCATGAAGAATTTTTAGTTTTCTACTCAGGTATCTGATGACAAATGGACAAGATATTGGAATAATATTCAGCCTTGAAAAGGAAGGAAATTGTGACTCAGATGAGCCTTGAGGACATTCAGTGGAGTGAAATCAACCAGACACAATAGTACAAATCCCATATTATTCCTCTGATAGGAGATATCCAGTAGAGTCAAATTCACAGTCAGGCAGCAGAATGGCAGTTGTCTGGAGCAAGGGAAGGGGTGGGGACAAAGTTGCAGGTGGTATGAATGGATTATGGTTGGCTGCTGCCCTGTGTGAATGTATGTGATCTTGCTCCCCTTAAGAGGGACTGGAAATGGGCAATATTGTGTTATGAATACAAAATAATATGAAAAGAGAATTTCTAGTAGTACTTACTTAACTCCTAGTACTTAATTCCTAGTGCTTACTTAACCCCTAGGATGGTGCTGCAATCTGTTTGCACAGAATGGGAGCCTTAATTTTACACCTCTGTTACAATGTGCCTAGTCATCAACCTACCTGTGAATTATTCAGAAATCCAGACTCAATACCTATTGAATTATTCAGAAATCCAGACACAACCCTGCCTCCTCTGGTCAGTGGCCTTCAGACTGAGGGAGAGGTGGCTGAGAAATCTCCACTTCTTAGCCCTTTCCCCAGTCTAACTACTTTTTAAAGAGCTCTGTTTTCCTAAAGCCTGTAATTACGTTTGCCTCCAGGGTACCCAAGCATTTTTTTTCCCAATAAGCAAAGAGCATCCTACAATTATATGATGATTTGTTGAGTGCAGGCCAAGTACAGACAGAGGCTGACTCAGCTCTGGGAACTGACACGCACGTGTTGGCGTTTTCAGTCCTGGAGGCGTTGCCAGTGGGCCTGGGCTGATAATTAATATTAAGAGTGGAGAATTAACTGGTCCACATAGCTGTTCACTTTACACTGCCTACGAGACAGGGGAAGCAGCCTGGTGGGCTGTGGCTGCCCCATGGGAGCAGGCCCTGTCTTCACAGATGGTCCTAGGTAAATATCTCCAGCCGGTGTGCCTGGCAGCATCTGAGGCTGTCACCTGGTGCTGCCAAAGCCACACACACAGCCACCGGGCCAGGGAGCGTAGACACTGGCAGAGTGGGAGCCTGTGGGTGCTGTCATCTCTGATTTGCGGTGGAGGCCAGTTCCATGGGCTTGCCTGTAATCTCCCCGAGTTCAAAGAGCGCAGAGCTGCTTGTCTTTGTCAAGAACGCAGTTGGGGATCTTTTATGTGGAAGATGTAGGATTCTCTGGCTGACTTTGATTATTTATTCATCCTCCTTCGTGGGTGTGTGATAGCACCAGGCACCACCGAGCCCTTGTCCTGGCTACTCTTGCTCAGGAATTCATTGAGCTTAAAGCCCTTTGAAAATTGCTTTTTGAGGGAGGGGAAAAGTTTTTGAAGTCCTTTTTCTCTCTCCCCCTCCTCAGTGCCGCAGCACCTCTTGCCACCGTTCCACGCGCCCCTGCCGATTGAGATGCGACACCAGGAGGGAAGGTACCATTACGAGCCTCACTCTGTCCACAGTGTGCATGGGTAAGTTCTGCCCTCTGCCTCGCCACTCCTGGCCTGCAGCCCCCCTCCCCCACCCCCTAGGGAGGCCCACTTCTATCTTGGCTCTTCTTTTTGGAGTTCTTGATCTATGTTGTTTTGTGGGGGCTTGCACCTTTGCCATCTGTGAGTGTGAGTGTGGAAACACATCACACGTGCACCCTCACCACACTCAAGCTCTTTCTTTGAAGGGCACTTGGCTCACCCATAGCCATGTCCACAGCTCTAGGGGCGTCTTTGTGCATCTATCTATATGTGATTGAAGGATCTTCCCCCATCTATGAGGCAAGAGCCCCTCCAGGCCCTTAAGCTCCTGTCAGGGATGTGTTCACAGGCACACCCTGCTCAGCATGATAATTCCGAGTCCCCTTGTTAACTGTCTCAAGTGTCCATACATTGTACAAACTCCCTACTCTAAGTGGCTTTAGGCCTCTTCCTTCTCCAGGGAGAAGGGCTGTGTTCACCAGCACTGACTCAGTAGGCCCAGCTCTGCCCACTCCATTCCCACTTGCAGCCTCCATGTCCCTCACTGATGTCATTTCTCTAGGTCTTTATGACTTGAAGTTTAGCCCCTTGCTACCCAATCCCCCCTCATTCCAGAAGAGAGGACTCAGCCTCCTCTTCACACCCAACTTCTCAGTTACTCCCCACCACTCCCTGGAAGAGAGTTTCTACCAGGATCCAAATGGCCCCCAGGCTTCTGTCACACTCCTCCAGCCACCTCACCTGTCTACACCATGTTGCCATCTGTCACCTGTCTCTACATCTTGCTCCTGCTGCCTGCCCAGCCTTCTAACGTGTCCCCTCTATCTAACCACCTAGGCTCAGCTCAGGAGTCACTTCCTCCTAGGGGCACTTGGATCTCCCACACTGTCACCCCAGAATGAGCTGTTTTCACAGCTTCTCCCAGCAGGCTCTGTGCTCTCCTTGGGATCCTGTGTCTATAGCAACATATACTAATAGGTGCACAATCAGAGCTTGCTGAGCAGAGAGCCCTTGCCAGGCAGCCCTGCAGGAGACCAGTCCTCTGCTGCTTTATCTCCTGCTGGAATAAGATCAATAGCATTTGCTGAGCGCTCAGAGCAACGTGCCCGGAAGTCCTCCAGCCAAGCCGGAGCTGACACCTGTTTCAGGAAACTTAGTGCCTGCCCAAGATAGCCAACCTGAAGCTTTTATTCAAACCCCAAAACAAAACCATTGCTTTTTAATGTTTTTTTTTACTTTGTAGTAAGTTCAGACATGCAAAAGCAATTGCAAAAATCATAAAAGATTCTGTATTCTCTCCTCAGCTCTTTGAATGCTAGCTAACACTGTATATAATCCAACACTGAAATGAGGCTGTGAACCAAGTATGGTTAGCTATGGGGTAATGTCTTCATTTCTTCAGTTCAGGATCCCGATCCCCAGCATCTGATGTGGAATGGGCATCTGATTGTGGAATGTCCATAGTCATCTTTGGCAGGGATAGCTCCTCAATCTCCTTTGTACTTCATGATCTTGACACATTAGGAGAGTACTGGCCAGTTACTGTACAATGCACCTCTCTGTTCGGTTTGTCTAAGGTTGCTTCATAATTTCATTCAGATTACTCATGGAGGGGTATTGTACCATAGAAGCGATGTTGTGTGTTTTCTTGTGAGTTGTATCTATCAGGATACAACACAGCTCATCATGGGAAAAGTTGATTCGTTTCTGGAGGTGATGTCTGCTGGGATTCTCTACTTAAACTGTTCCTTTGTAACTGATAAATATCTGGCAGGGAGACACTTAGAGAATATGTAAAAGTCTTGCTTCTTGTCTCATTTTTACCCACTAACTTAAACATCCATTCATGATTCTTTATAGAGACTACAGTTGTGTTTTCCAGTCACAAATTTCTATTTCCATTATTCACTCCATATGCATTGATTGGAATTTTATTTTAAGGAGGAAGTGTCCCTTCTCATGTGGTGTATCTATTTGATTTGTGGATATTCATGTTATTCTGTCTTATGCTTTATTTTGGTCACTGTTTATTGTGTTGTCCCAGATTTGCCCACTGGGTATCCTTTCAAGTAATCTTCTGAATCTTTATGACATGTTGGAACCTTTCCATTGTATTTCCATGCGTATGCCAGGTCCTTACTTGACTGGAATGTATGCAGCATCTGTGGGCTCCTCTGTGAGTGATGGGGTCATTTTCATTTCTTTTTTGCTTCATTTTCTCTGCTTGCCTGTGAGGCATCGCCAACTGCAGGTTGCTGAGACCTGAGCAATCTCTGGAAAGGTGCATGGCTTTGGATCTAATTGGATCAACTGAAAACATAGCAAGGGTTGACACTGATTAAGATGCATTGTACTCATAAACTGCTTGGTTAAATGGCAACTCCTTTATACAAGCACTTAAAGATAATAGAATATTTTTTAAAGTAGCATCTGAGACTCCTAAGATCATTATGGGAATTTGGTCCCATCTTGGGAGAGGGTTGATGCTCTCACTTTGGGCTCCTCAGAAATATTTGGCTGCCTGGGTGGCATAGATCCTGGGCATGGCAAGCCTTCCATGAAGTATTCCCATCTCTGGGACACATGGTGGGAGACATGCTGCAAGTTTTATGTTTGCTGAAGGAGTCCCCACACGTGTGTCCGTCTGAGAGTGCATGTCCCAGCTAACTTCTCTGTACTCCTAGGGTTGCTGTTAAGAGATCCTCAAATTGAGGACTTCCATTTCTCAAAGAACTTTGCCCTGTGGATGGGTCCTGTTGATGTGATCCTTAGCATTTCATCATCTCTGCCATCCTAAGAGGCAGTCATTTTGTGTCTTCTCCATTGTGACAATGAAGAAACTGAGGCAGCACAAGTAAGTTAAGTAACTAGCTCTGAGGACCACCCACTTAGAGAATGAGGGAGTTAGAAATCCCATCATGATCCTGAACCCACTCCCTTAGCTGCACATTGGCCTTTCTCTTGGGAGTCCTGTGTGAATCCTAAGTCCCAAGTGAGTCTAGCTTATCCTTTCCTAGCAGCATATGATGTTGGACACTATCCCTGGTTTGTTTGTGTCCCTAAGCTTTGTTTGTGTCCCTAACATCAGCTTCTGTGGGGAACCTGTTGGAGACACAGATGGCCAGGCTGCATTGGCCCAGGTCAGCATAGAAGGAATTCTTGGGATGGAGCCTGTGATCTGCATACTGTACCATCATAGGATGTTGTCACAGGCCAGGGATTGAGATCTTCTGGCTATAGATAGACTGAACACTGAGTAAGGTGGCCTCAGCCACAACCTTCCCTGGGTTGGGAAGGAACTTTAGTCTGGATCTTCCTAGCTTTGGCCTTCCCTGGGCCTGATTCCTTCCTGGCCAGGGGCTGGAGAAGGTGGATGATGGCAAGCAGCAAGCCAGGACTGGTGAGGCAGCCAGTGGCTCATGGAAACTTGTCACTCATTGACCTTCATGGCTCTTTAACATGATGGGTTACCTGAAAGACTGCATATTAGGTTACTGTGACTACTGTAACAAATTAATGCCAGCTAAATGGTTTAAAATAATCTAAATGGATTCTCATCGAGATCTGGAGGCCAGAAATTGAAATTAAATCTTACAGGGCTAAAAGGAAGGAATTGACAGTACCAGTTTCTTCTTCTTCTTTTTTTTTTTTGGTCGGTCGTGGGGCTTGAACTCTGGGCCTGGGCACTGTCCCTCAGGTCTTCAGCTCAAGGCGAGCACTTTACCACTTGAGCTACAGCGCCACTTCTGGTTTTCTGGTGGTTTATTGGAGATAGGAGTCTCACGGTCTCTCCTGCCCGGGCTGGCTTTGAACCGCGATCCTCAGATCTCAGCCTCCTGAGTAGCTAGGATTACAGGCATGAGCCACCAGCGCCCGGCTAGGACCAGTTTCTTCTAAAGGCCCCAGAAGATAACCCATTCCTCTAGCTTTCTCATATTTGGATACCTCCTTCATTCCTTGGCTTGCAACCCTAACCTGACCTCACATCAACTTTCTCTTGTTCCCTGCTCTTACATCATATCTGCCTCTTCTGACTTAGTTCTCTCTTCGCTTTTCTCATCGAGACAGCTGTGGTTGCTTTTAGAACCCACCCAGATAATCCAGAATCATCATTATATCTCACAATCCTAATGTAATCACATCTACAGAATTCCCTTTGCCACTGATAGTGACATTCACAAATCCCAGGAGTTAAGATGCAGATCTGCTTAGGGGCCATTACTCAACTCTCTTGGGTTCACTAAGCCCCAGAGCTGAGTCTAGCTCTTACCCCACAGGCTACAGTGAAGTGCTGGATAATTTGCTCATGTCTGCCTGCAGTGGGCCAGGTCTGCCCCAGAGTCTGGTACCATATCCATTCATCTGATGGTTCCATCAGGTGGGGTGATAAGCTTGGCCTTGTAAATGCTGAAGCTATCTATAGCTCAGAAAGAAGTAATGATGTCTACATGTCACCCCTATAAAGATGGGTATGCTTATGTCTGAGGAAGCTGAGGAGACCAGATTCTGGGACTCAAATCCTATCCCCAGCTGAAGAGGGCTTAGCTATCATGTACCACTGACAGGCAGAAGTAAGGAGTTCTAGAGCTTGTATACCCATAGTAACTCCACATTATTCTCAGGACAATGGGTTTCCACCCAGTTTACAGAAGGAAGACTTCAGGACAGGCCATGAACTTTGGGAGGCTCACCTTTGTCCTTTCTACCCTCTTCACTAACCCAGGTGGGCACCCAAGAAAAATGGCCTGAGAAAAATGCCCCAGTGGCTCTGGCTTCTATAATTAATGTGATCCGATCCTGGTGGAATACCCCGATCCATCAAGTCTTAGTGGTAGCCTGCTTCTCTTTGCCAGTACCAAATGTACCTAATTACACAAATGTGGTATCATCTCTTGTCATCAGTCTGAGCCTCTGCCTCCTTCTTGAAGTCCCGGGACTACTTTTCATGGCTTGCTCAAGAGTACACTTGCTACTCTAGCCTCATCTCTTTCTATCACCCA